TACAATGGTATGTCCTATACTGACAGTTTACCGTACATCATTAACCCTATTGTACGTACAATGGTATGTCCTATACTGACAGCTAACCGTACATCATTAACCCTGTTGTACGTACAATGGTATGTCATATACTGTCAGCTAACCGTATATCATTAACCCTGTTGTACGTACAATGGTATGTCCTATACTGACAGTTTACCGTACATCATTAACCCTATTGTACGTACAATGGTATGTCCTATACTGACAGATTTCCGTACATCATTAAACCTGTTGTACGTACAATGGTATGGCCTATATTGACAGTTTACCGTACATCATTAACCCTGTTGCACTTACAATGGTATGTCCTATACTGACAGTTTACCATACATCATTAACCCTATTGTACGTACAATGGTATGTCCTATACTGACAGTTTACCGTACATCATTAACCCTGTTTTACGTACAATGGTATGTCCTATTCTGACAGTTTACCCTACATCATTAACCTTGTTGTACGTACAATGGTATGTCCTATACTGACAGTTTACCGTACATCATTAACCTTCTTGTACGTACAATGGTATGCCCTATTCTGACAGATTACCGTTCATCATTAACCCTGTTGTACGTACAATGGTATGTCCTATTCTGATAGTTTACCGTACATCATTAACCTTGTTGTACGTACAATGGTATGTCCTATACTGACAGTTTACAGTACATCATTAACCTTGTTGTACGTACAGTGGTATGTCCTATTCTGACAGATTACCGTACATCATCAATTATGTTGTAGGTACAATGGTATGTCCTATTTTGACAGATTACCGTACATCATTAACTATGTTGTACTTACATTGGTATGTTCTATACTGGCAATTTACCGAACATCATTAAACCTGTTGTACGCACATTGGTATGTCCTATATTGACAGTTAATCATACAGTAAAACCGTTATACATGCACAACTGTATTCAGTTCTACCAGATAAAACAGAGTTATGCAATTCACAAATTTATTTAGTTCGTAACAATATTTATGTATAACTGCCACTGTCGCTCCAGGACGGGAAGCTCTGTCTTATTTACTTTTACGTCAGTACAAAGAAAAGAGAAAACTGTGCAAAAACAATACATCCTTTCCAAAATTTCTATCTGTAGTGTTCGATCGTCCAAAAGACCTGGCATCAATTTTACTGTCTTCAGAGAAATTTAAATGAAACTAATTTAATGTAAAAACTACAAGTCATATGTTGATTGACTGATATAGTGGCAAGTTGTCCTTGCTGTCAGCTTACCTTAGATTTGCCACATTATACAAACTGTACCCTATTTTGTTTGCCTGTACATTAACATCGATATACACAGCGTGATATGTTCTGTTTGATTCGAGTTGGCTTTTCAGATGCTGATACAGTCAAGAAGATAGTATACATTGATAAAATAAGTATGTTCATCAAAGGTATTCAACTATTTAACTCCGGAACCTTATATAAATATATATATAAAATAATTAGCAGTGTTACATTCACACTATGGATTACATTAATTGTATATTGCTAGATTTTAGTTTCCATCAGTGGAGATCAATCAGGACACTGTCTTTGGTATTTCTTGAATTATCAATAGTGACAGAGTGAATGTGAGTTTTTCTAATTGCCGTATTTCCCCTTGTTCTGTTACAGAAAATAACGACTACCTACCTGTGCATTACAGCTTTGGCAATCATGCTGCTGCTGGTCGGATATCAAAATACGAAAACAAACCATATTGCACCAATCACAGTCCAGGTCCATCAAAAGGCAACAACAGATAAAAAGGACATACAATCGATCCCGTTGAAAGGTTATATAGTTTATGACTGTGGTGATCAACATCCGGGACTCTGTGGGGGATGGTCTGACCGTATGTCGGGCATGTTTAGTGCCTACGTCATTTCTGTTATGCTACGTAAACATTTTCTCATTAGGTACACACGATCTAGTAATTTAACAGATTATCTTGCTCCGAATTCATTCGACTGGAAATATAATTCGGCAATACTTGCAAATAGGTCTTGGGGTTATCAGAATTTTGTTTCGGAAACTCCAGATGCTATCAAGAAGCAGGATTTAACAGGTCTAGACACTCTTTTCTCTAAAGATGTCAATTTTGTCCGTATTAACTGGGATTACACTGAACATTTTAGAAAGTTTCCAGGTTTACAGAAAGTTATTCCATGGTTGTTAGAGCTACATTTTTCTGACATTTATTTAAAATTTTTCAATACCCTTTTCAAACCTACAAATATGATCACTAAAGCAGTAAATAAGGTTGTACAAAATGTTACCAAACTTGCATGTGCTCATATTCGTATTGGAAGAAGTGACACGATAAAAATAGATGCCAAACATACGGACGAGAAACAACTCATACACATCTGGAATCTTCTAAAGACAATGGAAGCAAGCAATTATAGCATCTTCATAGCGACAGACGCCGAATTCGTGCAAAGGAGAGCAAGGACGTTATTTAAACATTTGCTTGAAACCGAAGGACGAGTCCTACATATAGACCGGAGTGCTGAAGGAGATGGTGTGGTTGGCGGTTACAAGAAAGTAGTTGTGGATTTTTTTGTTCTCACAAAATGTGATGTTTTGGTATTAACCCTGAGTGGGTTCGGAATTATGTCGTCCTATCTGAATACCAAGGTTTCCCAGCTATACTGCCTAACGCCACACGAGCTAGTTCCCTGCTCCCGGTACACTGTCCATAATGTCATCCCCGGACAAGTTCTCTCTCCTGTCTAGTGATCTGGAAACTGGTCACCCTCTGTCTATATAACAACATTAAATACAAAAAAAACCAACACCGCGTAGCTCTCTTTACCGTTATTCCGGATGTTTGGATGTGGCTATTCCTTCCTTCAGACAAATAAACATGAAGATAGATGTTTTCGTTTTTGGTAAACAAAACAACTTTATACAAGCCAAAATGATTCAAATAACGGTAAAGGGCTATCTTGTTCTAAATGACCATCATTTGCAAATGTTTTATAAGAGAACTTCCATCTTCTTACATAACACCAAATGATCATTCCGCCGTTGGCTATGATGGCTTACTCGGTCTGTACCTTCGATAGTCTTGTAAGCTTCAATCAAGAGTGTAGTACTACATATGGTAGACGTTTGAAGCATATACATAATAATGCATCAGAAGATGAAGTTTATCTTTTAACGCTTGTAGCCTTTATTTATTATTATTTTATTAGTATTATTATTATTTTATCTATTTAAATGTACTTTATAAAAACAAATCAGAATATTCTCTCATACAGAGAATATTGTGGTGATTTGGATTATCATAGGATATAATTTGATACATGATATAGTTGCGATAAATGTGATCATTGCGTGCGTACAACTGTGCGATAGCTATTGCACAGTTGTTGGATTCGTATATTGTTTGATTCATATATATATATATATATATATATATTAAAGAATAACTTGCGAATAAATACGATATAGTATTTTAGCTTGTGTTGCCATATGTCAGCCAGATTTACATTGTTATCTTTTTATCTAACAATAAGGTACACATCAGGTACAAAACAAACAAAAAATGTTTTGAAACGACCTTCATCGAAAAGTGTGTAAATATACGGTCATATACATGTATGAACTTTACACTCAGATTAAATGTAAACAAATCATCCTTATCCGTTACAATGTATCACTTAACTACCAGATCATGTGGTAGTTAGGGGATAAATACGGTATTCACATTTAAAAAAAGGTTTCAGGTCCTGCAATTTTGTTTGAAAAATGTTTACGCTTCGAAAACTGTGTGTCGTCAAATTGTAAGTGGTATTGCTTTCAATTATAAGGCAGATTGTAAAAAAAAAGTATTGCTTGTCGATTTTATGAAGTTTATATGCATGTAGACTTTCTTTCAGGATGAAATATCTACAAAAAGCACACTATCCAAATTAAATTCACCCCCTTGTTATGAAAAACTAGTTAATCATGCATACACCTGGTTACGAAGGAACGAGGCATTTCAATTTTGTCAAAGTTAGGCCTCAGTGGCTGAATTAAACATATACTAATAGACTTATATAAAACCCTATATCAAAGCTAATAGTTAACCATCACGATATCTACTTCTTGGTTTGGTCCAAGAACAATTCTGTCGATGGCCACTGTGTTAATTAAATTATTCCAGTGTCTGATTGTACAGACAATCGTTTTTAGTTTAGATGTGAGAATACTAGCAAGATAGTATTGCTATTCTTAATAGCATCAGACACTGATATTTGTCATTTGTAATATTTCCCAAAAAATGCTCAGATAGACCCATACCAAACATTGCAACACCGGAAGCCGAACTTCATGTTTAGGATTTTAATACGTAATAATAGAGGTTAATTGCTGAAAAAAGCAAATCAAGATTTCGTGAAATGTGCAAACACGTGCAAACACGTGCACAAAATAAAAATAAAACCATGAAAGACAAAACGAACAAGAAAATAATGTTCATACATGTTTAACCCATTTACATATTAATTCTTAGTAACATTATTTTATCAAAATGTTGTAATGTTCCATTAAATGAACACTGTTCGGTATTTAATTAACACGTGTTAATTACCAGCAAAGAAATGTATCATGACACATGCATCAGTAATTGTTTCCGTTGTATTAGAAACGGTCATGTATGCAAAGTTTTGCCGAATCAGATAGAGTCCAATAATTCTCTATTTTAACATTTTATTGTATAGGACATTTTCTTAAGTAGGAGGCAGGTTTTCAGTAAAAGGAAAAGAATTTACAATGGAAAGGATATACAATTTGTATTAGAGTAACGGTCTACAAAATGAAGAGTAAATGGAAGACATTCCACAATGGGAGGAAACAGTGGTATAGGAATCATAAGCAGAACTGATGTCTTGCATGGTAGAGAGGAACCACTGTGTCGATTAAAGTGAACATGTGTTCTCCTAATGAAAAGTATGCATAACAGGACGAGTGTCCTTATGTCTGAAACTGATTTTTCTTTAAAACTGTGATCGTGTTCCTGTTATCGCTGACATAAAAAAAATCAAAGGGAACAGACACGAATATTTGCCTAACCCCTTATCTTGCATACGCTAATATTAATCTCGAACATGACGCATACACAGGGAGTCCTTGGCCCAGTATCGGATATTTTTTTATTGAAACAGTGCACCCGACAAATCAACAACGTTAATATATCAATTCCTATGTACATGGTCCTAATTTGTCCATTTTTTTGTAACATAGCAAGTATAAATACATACCTATATGTTGAATTTAGAAAGAAAGTGCCGGTTTTCGGCCATTAGCCTATTTTTCGCGGATATGACGTCTAGGAAATAAAGTATCGGTAGATGTTCTTTAGATTTGCAAATGTGCAGAACACCAAACCGCTGAGAAGTCTTTAACAGTCGTTTATAGATAGATAGTACCCTAGACGGTACAGCATGTGGAAGCAAGTGTATGTGGGCGGAGTTACGCAACATGCTTGATGTGCTCCCGTTTTATTTGAAATATATCGTCGTTAGAACTGCTATAGTTGGTTGTCATTTTTTTTCAGTCCGACTTGTTGAAACACAGTTAATTGCAGAACATATATATTTTATCATTGAGGCTATTTTTTAATGTTTTACTTTATTTTCTAATCTAATTTTTTTGCAAGGTGATAACTATTTCACAATCCCTGCATCACGACATGAGATCAAACATGATTTTCTTTCTCTCTTAGTCAACCAATTATCAAGTTATGGTGTAAGTATTTAAATAGTATAATATTCTTGTGTTCCATCACCGTAAAACTAGATGTATCTAAATATAAACTTTTGAACAAATTTTAAAATGTTTGAGCCTTTTTTATTGTAAACAAACAGGTGATTCGATACTGACCCAATTACTGGACAATACCATTTGTGTTTAACTGAATCATGTATACATATCTTGCAGTTTAATGTTTTCATATAAGAAGACAAAGTACCAAACATGCTGACGCTTCACACACGTGCTGATAAGCAACGTGGTTACTATCGAATATTTGATACGGACATCGTGTAAATTTCGAGCAAAGTTTGACATGACATGTACAAAAAAATAAGATTAATTTGTCAATAGAACCCACTGGCATGAGTTCATAGTGCATTGCTCAAAAACGCAACACCGATTTTAATCACGAGCGTTTAAATATTTGCAGATGTGGTCCGACACTGGGCAACCGACTGTATCTAGTCAATAAATTCGATATGAATACGTATTTGTATGACGTCACTGCTCCGAGATCTACAGAACAAAACAAGTAACGCGTTTGTATATAATTTTCCATTTTAGCTACCATTTCGTTATGATATATACATGTAGAAGAAATGACAATACACTTTTTTTTTTTTTAATTGGATTTTTATTTTCATTTAAATGTGCAATATAAATCTTCATCAAATTAGCAATTATCATAATCATCATACATCAAGCATCATCCATCATAAACAATAGCCTCATTACCAACACATCTCACAGACATGCACCATCCTCATCATCATTCTCATCATCACTTTTTTTCTATATAAAACAACATTTCATCATATTTCATACAATGCATCATCATCATCATCATCATCATCATCATTACCATCATCATCATCATCATCATCAAAGCAATAATCATCATCATCATCAAAGCAATATCATTGTATCGTTATAATCATACAGAGAAAAAATACAAATCAACACTGGTCATTACCATAAATACTTGCATCATGTACCTGTGATCATCATCCTCACTGTTATTATCAAGAAAACAAGATCACCTTCCACATGTCACATGACTCTCACATCCTGACATCATACACATAAAGTTGAGGAAGATTACGCAGTAACAAACAAAAAAAAAACCCAATAAATTATCTATTGTATACCTGCAGTATTAAATAAGATCAGATTTACATGAATGTATATTGCACTTTATTGGCTGGACAGACAAATAGAGTGTAGAAAGAATTAAAGACGTTTAAAGAACAGAAAAGAAAACGAGAAAAAATAGAAACAAAGTGGAAGAACAGGTTGGGAGGTAGCTATATATAGACAAGAAAATGACAATACACTTTGTTTTTAGCTGAACGCTATTATTAATTGTCCGTTTGATCGGTTAACAACAGTTATAACGAGGATATAACTCTACTGGTTATTGTACAACACAACACGGTGGTTTTAGAGATAACTACATATACTGACACCTTCATTTAGCTTTTTCTGACGCAAGCTTATCTGTTTCAATATTTAAACCAGTACATTATTCTGTAGATCAAAGGATTTTAGTCACAATTTATATAATCTTTTTATCACATAATGTACTGTGCTATCCAGTCAATATACCCATGTCATATTTGTTTGCGTATTTACCCATGTAATATGACCTATCAGCCCTATGATTGATTGAAAGTTTCAATTGTTTCATTTGTGACGTCACGCCTAGGCCAAGTACATGACGTAATAGATTTCCGCACTGGAGTCTTACACGAATAAATGCCACAAATCTTGATTATGTGATAGAAATGATCTTATACTCGTTTTCAATTCATATGAAATTTTTGAAACTGGTTACGAATTTTTAATTTTAGCTCGCTAAGTTGAAAAATTCTTAGACTCGTTTCATAAATCTCATATGAAGTGGAAACTCATGTAAGACCTCCTATATATATCCATATGATGCAATTGTACTTATAGACACATGTAGTTAAGATTCAAGATTCAGGATTTATTAAACTTTAGACCATAGGCCCATCAGTACATGATATAGAATACAATGTATAGGGAATAAGTTACATAACCTCTCCTGCCACTTACACCATTTCCCCTACCACTAACATCACCTTCCATACCACTAACATCACCTTCCATACCACTTACACCACCTCCCCTACCACTTACATCACCTCCCCTACCACTGACACCACCTCCCCTACCACTTACATCATCTCCCATACCACGAAAATAGCAGTGACGTCACATATTTGGCACAACGGCGCATGCATTGTCAAGGTAAAGGTCATCACAATACACATCGAAGTCTGCACTTTTTAAAAATTTACAGGGACTGGAGTGTTTGTCGATCTCTATTACACAAGCGCATTTCTTTGGAGAGGGTTGTTCTTCGAATGATAACCTCGATGTTTCCGCCTGTCACTGAGCAAGAAAATATACTGTGAAATCCGCTATGAAACTGGAACACTGATGAAGTTGACCGGTTACAAGTGTTCGCCATTGATTGTGTGTATGTCGGAGAAGTTCAAGTGGAACTTGAACATCCAGGTGTTGAATTTGTGTGAAGCTAACGCTCGTTTTTATATAATATTGAATTTATTAAACTCGTTTGTTAATTTTATTCTCCCAGTGCCCATGCCTCTGCTATCAATGCAAACAGTAACTCGGTCATCCATTTTGTTTACAAACGAAGACGTTGTAGTGCGTAGGAATATGACCTGTTTCCCACGGTGACAATTAAAAAAGACTCATTTGCACGTTTATTGTACGTGTGCTATATCGTTTTTATTGAACGGCAATATTGATGAATTTACTACCAAAAATGAGCTTTCAGTTTTTTTCGATAACCTTTAACCACGCCGTTATTGATAGGACAAACACACCTATAATCTTGCATATGCGCTTATCACTCTAACTTGGGACACACCTGCATGTATTTTAGTTGTTGTGAAACTATCAACATCTTTATTCACATCGATATACAGCAGATGATGTGTTATTGAGAACTTTTCCATTATCGTGTCGCACTGTTACATACAGCACGAAAGACAATCTACATTATTTCTAGTCGGACGTGATTACTTATTTGTCATTATATCAGTAATCAGCGGTGGATTTTACTGTACCGATCATTATATCATATAGCACGGTTGTGTTGAAGAGATCTACACATACTGACAGTGTTCTTATGTTTTAGAAGAAATCTTCAGAAATGGTATGTATATATAGGGAAGGATAGCGTCAATAGAAATTTCATCATGGCGTTTGTATACCTATGCTTCGTTCAATTTAAGAAAATTCCTTCATTTACATTTTCTTATTAGAAAGTACAGCTACAGGAAAGGGAATTTTCCTTAATTCCGAAACAATTTTTTCCGATGAAATACTTACCTTACAAAATTAAGGCCAGTACAGTACTCTTGTTTGTTTCGTATATGTAAGTATCCACCATTTTTTTTTTATCTCTTTTATAATTTTATTTGTTTAACACATTTTTGGAAGGAAGCAAGAGTTGTGGAGCCCTGGTATCCCTCCTTTAATCCATAATATAAAAATTCATTAACAATCAAATGCATATTTATGTTCTCCACACCAATATCTTCAAAATTGTTTACAAAGTCTTACATTAAACATCAAAAGGAAATGTTTGCTTAATGTAATAACAAAAACAAAACCAGTAAATAAAATCCTTTGTCTTTCTTTGCCTTAACATAATGTTTGCCATGTTTTTCAGTTGACTAAGTATTTTTTTATATAATGCTCCAGGATTTTGTTCTTTGTTTTTAAAGACTTCTGTTAATTTCTTGCCTTCCATATAAGCCATTTAGATTAAAAAAATAAAATACATGTAGGTTAAATAGATATGTGTTATTTTGTGTTCTGAAAGTTTTTACAGTAGTTACATAATTCATTAGTCTCCATTTGCTGAAGTTTGTGTTCAGCTGTTAAAATTGTATTTAAACAGCTGCATTGGTAGTCTTTACTTTTCCTATCATTGATAATGTTTATTGAGTGTCAGTTTGAATGCCAATCCAACGTGTGCTTTTCATTATTACCCTTTTAAAGTCTATAATCTCTTTGCCTCTTCGATATAATATTTTGATATTTTGTTGAAGTATTTATTTAGTGCTTAAATATATTTTATTGCAAGTGAAGAATATAAGAATATATCATCTGAGATTTTGATGTTTTCATTAGTGATTCAAACATAGTTTTGTGGTATGTTTTTTATTCTAGTTAAAGTACTCGTTTGATTTTCAAAATTTCCGAGCAACCCAATTGTTTCAACTTTTGAAACCTTGAGTAATAACTCTTTCTGAGGAAATAAAGTCTTTGTGTGAGTTATATTCTATATGTGATTTATTTTTGTTATTCTATTAGCTGTCAAGCTTTTGAAGAATATTGGACTATTTTTAAATGATTCTTTTTTTTCCAAATAACTTTGAGTTTAGTACATGTACGTGTTCTGTGCTGGTAATTGATACTTTTAGCAGCCTTTGGTCATGTAATTCCAAGTGGATTGTGCTGCTGCGTCTACACAAAAATAATCTGTATAATACATTTGGTCATAGTTTTGAAGGAAGTGTTTTCCTAGTACGTAACCACAATCATAACGAGACTGAAATTGGTCGATTTGGTGTGATCAGATAGTTAAGTATACATGAGTCCGAATTCAATAGGACCTTGTATTTCCTGTCCCTGTTATATTTGACGCCCAGATAATTGTAAGCAGAGGAAATGGTAAATCTGTTTACGTGACTAATGAGTTGGAGAAAAAGTGAAGGGGAAGGGGAATATAAAAAAAAACAGCTGGTTCGGAGGTCGGAGGATCGAATATCCATCTGAATGTTGCATTTTCCCATTCTTGTCACATGCTAACTCCATTCTGTTTCGTAGAGTGTGATTATTTGAACCATGGACCTGTTGTATTTAGGGGCCGCGGTAGCCAGGTGGTTAAGGCGTCTGATATTCTGCTACCACTAGCCCTCCACCACTAGGTCGCGGTTTCGAGGCCTACGTGGGACAGTCGCCAAGTACTTTCCGCAGGTCGGTAGTTTTTCTCCGGGTAATCCGGCTTTCCTCCGCCATAAAAATCCTGGCATGTCATGAAATGAAAATAGCTGTTAATAGGACGTAAAACCCAAAGAAACAAAAACAATTGTATAGACACTGTTGTGTTTCGTACTGTCAGCTAACCGTACATCATTAACCTTGTTGTACGTACAATGGTATGTCCTATACCGACAGTTTACCGTACATCATTAACCCTGTTGTACGTACAATGGTATGTCCTATACCGACAGTTTACCGTACATCATTAACCTTGTTGTACGTACAATGATATGTCCTATTCTGACAGATCACCGTACATCATTAACTATGTTGTACGTACAATGGTATGTCCTATACTGACAGGTTACCGTGCATCATTAACCCTGTTGCACTTACAATGGTATGTCCTATACTGACAGTTTACCGTACATCAGTAACCCTAATGCACTTACAATGGTATGTCCTATACTGACAGTTTACCGTACATCATTAACCCTGTTGCACTTACAATGGTATGTCCTATACTGACAGTTTACCTTACATTATTAACCTTGTTGTACGTACAATGGTATGTCCTATTCTGACAGATCACCGTACATCATTAACTATGTTGTACGTACAATGGTATGTCCTATACTGACAGTTTGCCGTACATCATTAACCCTGTTGTACGTACAATGGTAGGTCCTATACTGACAGTTTACCGTACATCATTAACCTTGTTCTACGTACAATGGTATGTCCTATTCTGACAGTTTACCGTACATCATTAACCTTGTTGTACGTACAATGGTATGTCCTATACAGCCAGTTTACCGTTCATCATTAACCTTGTTGTACGTACAATGGTATGTCCTATTCTGACAGATTACCGTACATCATTAACTATGTTGTACGTGAAATGGTATGTCCTATTCTGACAGATTACCGTACATCATTAACTATGTTCTACTTACATTGGTATTTTCTATACTGGCAATTTACCGAACATCATTAAACCTGTTGTACGCACATTGGTATATCCTATATTGACAGTTAATCGTACAGTAAAACCGTTATACATGCACAACTGTATTCAGTTCTACCAGATAAAACAGAGTTATGCAATTCACAAATTTATTTAGTTCGTAAAAATATTTATGTATAACTGCCACTGTCGTTCCAGGACGGAAAGCTCTGTCTTATTTACTCTTACGTCAGTACAAAGAAAAGAGAAAACTGTGCAAAAACAATACATCCTTTCCAAAATTTCTATCTCTAGTGTCCGATCGTCCAAAAGACCTGGCATCAATTTTACTGTCTTCAGAGAAATTTAAACGAAACTAATTTAAAGTAAGAACTACAAGTCATATGTTGATTGACTGATATAGTGGCAAGTTGTCCTTGCTGTCAGCTTACCTTAGATTTGCCACATCATACAAACTGTACCCTGTTTTGTTTGCCTGTACATTAACACTGATATACACAGCGTGATATGTTCCGTTTGATTCGAGTTGGCTTTTCAGATGCTGATACAGTCAAGTAGATAGTATACATTAATAAAATAAGTATGTTCATCAAAGGTATTCAACTACTTAACTCCGGAACCTTATATAAATATATATGAAATAATTAGCAGTGTTACATTCACACTATGGATTACATTAATTGTATATTGCTAGATTTTAGTTTCCATCAGTGGAGATCAATCAGGACACTGTCTTTGGTATTTCTTGAATTATCAATATTGACAGAGTGAATGTGAGTTTTTCTAATTGCCGTATTTCCCTTGTTCTGTTACAGAAAATAACAACTACCTACCTGTGCATTACAGCTTTGACAATCGTGCTGCTGATGATCGGATATCAATATACGAAAACAAACCATATTGCACCAATCACAGTCCAGGTCCATCAAAAGGCAACAACAGATAAAACGGACATACAATCGATCCCGTTGAAAGGTTATATTGTTTATGACTGTGGTGATCAACATCCGGGACTCTGTGGGGGATGGTCTGACCGTATGTCGGGCATGTTTAGTGCCTACGTCATTTCCGTTATGCTACGTAAACATTTTCTCATTAGGTACACACGATCTAGTAATTTAACAGATTATCTTGCTCCGAATTCATTCGACTGGAAATATAATTCGGCAATTCTTGCAAATAGGTCTTGGGGTTATCAGAATTTTGTTTCGGAAACTCCAGATGCTATCAAAAAGCAGGATTTAACAGGTCTAGACACTCTTTTCTCTAAAGATGTCAATTTTGTCCGTATTAACTGGGACTACACTGAACATTTTAGAAAGTTTCCAGGTTTACAGAAAGTTATTCCGTGGTTGTTAGAGCTACATTTTTCTGACATTTATTTAAAATTTTTCAATACCCTTTTCAAACCTACAAATATGATCACTAAAGCAGTAAAGAAGGTTGTACAAAATGTTACCAAACTTGCATGTGCTCATATTCGTATTGGAAGAAGTGACACGATAAAAGTAGATGCCAAAAATACGGACGAGAAACAACTCATACACATCTGGAATCTTCTAAAGACAATGGAAGCAAGCAATTATAGCATCTTCATAGCGACAGACGCCGAATTCGTGCAAAGGAGAGCAAGGACGTTATTTAAACATTTGCTTGAAACCGAAGGACGAATCCTACATATAGACCGGAGTGCTGAAGGAGATGGTGTGGTTGGCGGTTACAAGAAAGTAGTTGTGGATTTTTTTGTTCTCACAAAATGTGATGTTTTGGTATTAACCCTGAGTGGGTTCGGAATTATGTCGTCCTATCTGAATACCAAGGTTACCCAGCTATACTGCCTAACGCCACACGAGCTAGTTCCCTGCTCCCGGTACACTGTCCATAATTTCTACCCCGGACAAGTTCTCTCTCCTGTCTAGTGAACTGGAAACTGGTCACCCTCTGTCTATATAACAACATTAGATACAAACAAACACCGCGTAGCTCTCTTTACCGTTATTCCGGATGTTTGGATGTGGTTATTCATTCCTTTAGACAGATAAACATGAAGATAGATATTTTCGTTTTTGGCAAACAAACCAACTGTATACAAGCCAAAATGATTCAAATAACGGTTAAGGGCTATCTTGTACTGAATGACCATCATTTGCAAATGTTTTATACGAGAACTTCCATCTCCTTACAAAACACCAAATGATCATTCCTCCGTTGGCTATGATGGCTTACTCGGTCTGTACCTTCGATAGTCTTGTAAGCTTCAATCAAGAGTGTAGTACTACATATGGTAAACGTTTGAAGCATATAAATAATAATGCATCAGAAGATGAAGTTTATCTTTTAACGCTTGTAGCCTTTATTTATTATTATTTTATTATTATTATTATTATTATTATTATTATTATTATTATTATTTTATCTATTTAAATGTACTTTATAAAATCAAATCAGAATATTCTCTCATACAGAGAATAGTGTGGTGATTTTGATTATCATAGGATATAATTTCATACATTATACAGTTGCGATAATTGCGATCATTGCGTGCGTACAACTGTGCGATAGCTATTGCACAGTTGTTGGATTCGTATATTGGTTGATACATAAATATATATATATATATTAAAGAATAACTTGCGAATACATACGATATAGTATTTTAGCTTATATATTTCCTGGTCCACAGTAAATGTGTTGCCATATGTCAGCCAGATTTACATTGTTGTCTTTTTATCTAACAATAAGATTCACATCAGGTACAAAACAAACAAATAAAATGTTTTGAAACGACCTTCATCGACAAGTGTATAAATATACGGTCATATACATGTATGTACTTTACACTCAGATTAAATGTAAACAAATCAGCCTTATCCGTTACAATGTATCTCTTAAATACGAGATCATGTGGTAGTTAGGGGGTAAATACGGTATTCACATTTTAAAAAAATGTTTCAGGTCCTGCAATTTTGTTTGAAAAATGTTTACGCTTTAAAACTGTGTGTCGTCAAATTGTAAGTGGGTTTTTTTCAATTAAAAGGCAGATTGTAAAAAAAAAGTATTGCTTGTCGATTTTATGAAGTTTATATGTATGTAGACTTTCTTTCAGGATGAAATATCTACAAAAAGCCCACTATCCAAATTTAAATTAACCCCCTTGTTATGAAAAATTAGTTAATCATACATACACCTGGTTACGAAGGAACGAGGCATTTCAATTTTGTCAAAGTTAGGCCTCAGTGGCTGAATTAAACATATACTAATAGACTTATATAAAACCCTATATCAAAGCTAATAGTTAACCATCACGATATCTACTTCTTGGTTTGGTCCAAGAACAATTCTGTCGATGGTCACTTTGTTAATTAAATTATTCCAGTTTCTGATTGTACAGACAATCGTTTTTAGATGTGAGAATACTAGCAAGATAGTATTGCTATTCTTAATAGCATCAGACACTGATATTTGTCATTTGTAATATTTCCCAAAAAATGCTCAGATAGACCCATACCAAACATTGCAGTGAAGACAGGAAATAAGGACGATAAGAACGTGTATGTTTGTTTACCGCCAACCTTAACCAATATGTCCATCAGTAAACAAAATAAAATATTTGTAACATTTCCCAAAAAATGCTCAGATAGACCCATACCAAACATTGCAGTGAAGACAGGAAATAAGGACGATAAGAACGTGTATGTTTGTTTACCGAACTGATGGTAGAGAAGAACCGCTGTGTCGATTAAAGTGTACATGTGTTCTCCTAATGAAAAGTATGCATAACAGGACGAGTGTCCTTATGTCTGAAACTGATTTTTCTTTAAAACTGTGATCGTGTTCCTGTTATCGCTGACATAAAAAAAATCAAAGGGAACAGACACGAATATTTGCCTAACCCCTTATCTTGCATACGCTAATATTAATCTCGAACATGACGCATACACAGGGAGTCCTTGGCCCAGTATCGGATATTTTTTTTATTGAAACAGTGCATCCGACAAATCAACAACGTTAATATATCAATTCCTGTGTACATGGTCCTAATTTGTCCATTTTTTTTGTAACATAGCAAGTATAAATACATACCTATATGTTGAATTTAGAAAGAAAGTGCCGGTTTTCGGCCCTTAACCTATTTTTCGCGGATATGACGTCTAGGAAATAAAGTATCGGTAAATGTTCTTTAGATTTGCAAATGGGCAGTTTTGAGAACACCAAACCGCTGGAAGTCTTTAACAGTCGTTTATAGATAGGTGGTACCCTAGATGGCACAGCATGTGGAAGCAAGTGCATGTGGTCGGAGTTACGCAACATGCTTGATGTGCTCCCGTTTTATTTGAAATATATCGTCGTTAGAACTACTATAGTTGGTTGTCATTTTTTTCAGTCCGACTTGTTGAAACACATTTAATTGCAGAACATATATGTTGTATCATTGAGGCTATTTTTTAATGTTTTTTTTATTTTCTAATCTATTTTTTTTGCAAGGTGATAACTATTTTATAATCCCTGCATCGCGACATGAGATCAAACATGATTTTCTTTCTCTCTTAATCAACCAATTATCAAGTTCTGGTGTAAGTATTTAAAACCGTATTATAATATTCTTGTGTTCCATCACCGTAAAACTAGATGTATCTAAATATAAACTTTTGAACAAATTTTAAAATGTTTGAGCCTTTTTTATTGTAAACAAACAGGTGATTCGATACTGACTCAATTACTGAACAATACCATTTGTGTTAAACTGAATCATGTATACATATCTTGCAGTTTAATGTTTTCATATATGAAGACAAAGTACCAAACATGCTGACGCTTCACAAACGTGCTGATAAGCAACGTGGTTACTATCGAACATTTGATACGGACATCGTGTAAGTTTCGAGCAAAGTTTGACATGACATGTCCAAAAAAAATTAAAATTAACTTGTCAATAGAACCCACTGGCATGAGTTCATAGTGCATTGCTCAAAGACGCAAAACCGAATTTAATCACGAGCGTTTAAATATTGGCAGATGTGGTCCGATACTGGGCCACCGACTGTATACAGTCAATAAATTCGATATGAATACGTATTTGTATGAAGTCACTGCTCCGAGATCTACAGAACAAAACAAGTAACGCGTTTGTATATAATTTTCCATTTTAGTTACCATTTCGTTATGACATATACATGTAGAAGAAATGACAATACACTTTGTTTTTAGCTGGACGCTATTATTAATTGTCCGTTTGATCGGTTAACAACAGTTATAACGAGGATATAACTCTACTGGTTATTGTACAACACAACACAGTGGTTTTAGAGATAACTACATATACTGACAACTTCATTTAGTTTTTTCTGACGCAAGATTTTAATCACAATTTATATAATCTTTTTATCACATAATGTACTGTGCTATCCAGTCAATATATCAATGTCATGTTTGTTTGCGTATTTCCCCATGTAATATGACCTATCAGCCCTGTGATTGGTTGACAGTTTCAATTGTTTCAATTGTGACGTCACGCCTAGGCAAAGTACATGACGTAATAGATTTCCGCACTGGAGTCAAAATGGCGGCTTTTTACATTTCAAGGTTGCATGAAGTTTGTCGTTTTACAAGAATAAATGCCACAAATCTTGATTATGTGATAGAAATGATCTTATACTCGTTTTCATTTCATATGAAATTTATGAAACTGGTCACGAATTTTTCATTTTAGTTCGCTAAGTTGAAAAATTCTTAGACTCGTTTCATAAACCTCATATGAAGTGGAAACTCATGTAGGATCCTATAAATATCCATATGATGCAATTGTACTTATAGACACATGTAGTCAAGATTCAAGATTCAGGATTTATTAAACTTTAGACCATAGGCCCATCAGTACATGATATAAAATACAATGTATAGGGAATATATAGAGATGATGTACATGCAAATACATGATAACTAATTAGGAATTTTAAATGTGTAACCATCAAACTTAAATTGCCTTAACATACAAAGCTGTTGACTATTTTGGACACTGAACAACTGAATAGCATTAACAACTGAAGCATTCTTCCAATATTGTTTTGTAATAAACCGCATACTTTGTTTTTAACTTACTACAAATTAATGCAAAGTTGAATTCATCTTCCACGTCAGTGGAGTTACATTCATCACAATGCATTAGTTCTCTAGAAACTGTTCCTTCTCTTCTCAATAGCAAGTGGATGTGTATAAGTCCTTATTCTGGTGAGATATTTTCTATATCTAACATGGATTATACTTACTAAGATAAAATTGAAGAGAATATTTTTGTTCGAAAATATGAATATATAAATAGGCAGCATTTTGGTGACCTATCTATTGGAGCTGGTATAGCCTGATCATGCTGATAAAACATTTTTGTAGTATCTCTAGCAGAACTAATTGTTGATAACTAACGATGTAGGAATTTAACTATATATGTCAAAACCTGAAATTAGATATAAATATAAGCTGGATAAAAAGATTATATCATTTCTCAGGAAAGCAGAATACTATTTTAATGAAATTGGTTGACTTATTAAGTTACTTAATATTGGAAGGGATTATACATGTATTGAAAATATGTAATAATAATTTCTGGAAATATCTCTTAAATTTCAGATGATATGAAAGCTCTCAAAGGGAAGTCACTCTTGCAAACTCCCACATGGCACAACCATACTATAACTATTGGAGGCAGGTCAGACTGTTATTCTCAGTGGTGCGAAAAGGGTGTATATGCATTGGTGACTTTATAAAGGATTTTAATACTTTTCATATAATGAATTTATTCAAAGATACAGCATAAATATAAACTTTCTCAAATTGTATGGGTTGGTGACAGCGATTAGAAAATGTTTAGAAAATTACGTATTCAGGGATTCTTCTTTATACCGCCCTGTAATACCAGTGAATATTGCACCTTGTTTTAAAGA